GGAAGAAAGAAAGGAAGAAAGAAAAGAAGGGAAAGGAAGGGAAAGGAAGAAAGAAAGGAAGAGAAAGGAAGAGAAAGGAAGAGAAAGGAAGAGAAAGGAAGAGAAAGGAAGAGAAAGGAAGAGAAAGGAAGAGAAAGGAAGAGAGAAAGATAAAAGGAAAGACAGACAAAGACAGACAGAAAGACAGACAGACAGAAAGAGAGAGAGAGAGAGAGAGAGAGAGCGAGAGAGAGAGAGAGAGAGCGAGAGAGAGAGAGAGAGAGCGAGAGAGAGAGAGAGAGAGCGAGAGAGAGAGAGAGAGAGCGAGAGAGAGAGAGAGAGAGCGAGAGAGAGAGAGAGAGAGCGAGAGAGAGAGAGAGAGAGCGAGAGAGAGAGAGAGAGAGCGAGAGAGAGAGAGAGAGAGCGAGAGAGAGAGAGAGAGAGCGAGAGAGAGAGAGAGAGAGCGAGAGAGAGAGAGAGAGAGCGAGAGAGAGAGAGAGAGAGCGAGAGAGAGAGAGAGAGAGCGAGAGAGAGAGAGAGAGAGCGAGAGAGAGAGAGAGAGAGCGAGAGAGAGAGAGAGAGAGCGAGAGAGAGAGAGAGAGAGCGAGAGAGAGAGAGAGAGAGCGAGAGAGAGAGAGAGAGAGCGAGAGAGAGAGAGAGAGAGCGAGAGAGAGAGAGAGAGAGCGAGAGAGAGAGAGAGAGAGCGAGAGAGAGAGAGAGAGAGCGAGAGAGAGAGAGAGAGAGCGAGAGAGAGAGAGAGAGAGCGAGAGAGAGAGAGAGAGAGCGAGAGAGAGAGAGAGAGAGCGAGAGAGAGAGAGAGAGAGCGAGAGAGAGAGAGAGAGAGCGAGAGAGAGAGAGAGAGAGCGAGAGAGAGAGAGAGAGAGCGAGAGAGAGAGAGAGAGAGCGAGAGAGAGAGAGAGAGAGCGAGAGAGAGAGAGAGAGAGCGAGAGAGAGAGAGAGAGAGCGAGAGAGAGAGAGAGAGAGCGAGAGAGAGAGAGAGAGAGCGAGAGAGAGAGAGAGAGAGAAAGAGAGAAAGAGAGAGAGAAAGAGAACTACAAATTGTGATGGTTATTAGGAGTCTTCCTCAGAATTAGCCATAATAAACCATTGCAAAGATAGTATTTTTAATATTCCTTACAGCATCAGTTCAGAATGACAGACTGATAGGCATCAAATTAGATATGATTCTTGGTATCATAGCTGGGCAGTAGCTACAGTGACAAAGGAGGCAGCAAGATTCCAGTTTTGCATTTGTTCCTCCTCAGATTGTTTTAACTGGTGAAAACTATAGAGAAGACACATAGCTCTGGTGCCAGCACAGAGTGGGTATCTGGAACCATCACAGATTCTGAGGAAAGACAAAACCTATCCAAGGAACTCCATATGGGTTTTTGCACCTCAGACTGCATTAACAAGAGGCCCCTAAAGTTTTTTCACCCTGGAAATTAAGGACCTGAATGCCTCCTATCTTTTCTACTGTCACTTCTTTGTTCGTACATGGAAGATGCAGATGTGTAAACTATCATTACCCTTGAGATAGTGAACTCATATCTTGCTATACAACCACTCACATTTTTCCAAAAAGACTGTTAAAAACCACAGTCAACAAAGTGCATTTCTCCAGGGAAAAGAGTACCTCTCCTGAGTTCTGTTCTCCTTCTGTCTTCAAAGGAAGTAGCTCTATGACAAAAAGGCATAGTACAATACCTGAAACTGGAACTGTATCAGAGGGAACCCGGTCAGGACAGGGAATATTTGTTCCATAACTTCTCTCCTGCAAAGACAGACAGAACAAGACTTCACATCAATCTCATTATACTCTAGTCATGATAAAATATTTATGTCTCAGAGCATTAGATTAATGAAATCCCCACATACTGTGTATACAACTACCCAGTTCAGCCTGTCCTCAGTCCATGCCTTTTGAAGGCAGACACAAATTCAGCCTTCTCTTAGAAGTTATGCAGCCTTACAAGTGCATCACAATCCTTGCCTACCAGTGGGGCCAGTTGTTTTAGACTCTGAGCCATGTTGTGCTCAGCTATGTAACATTTGGTGTGCCCATACCCTGAACATCTTTTGCAAGAAACTGAACACCCCTGAAATATCCTAGCACAAAACCATACCTCTGTCAGCAGGCCATGAGACTGCCTTTTTCATATGCAGTCCTGTATGTGCAGCCAGGGATTTCCCCTCCTGGCTCTTTTGGGTTGCAGCCTACTGATAGAAATACCCCCAAAGTCTACTGTTAGTGTAGGGCTGACCATCAATATACCAGAGCAAACCATCACACAAGACTCAAAGATGTGCTTTGGCTCCAAATCTCTCTGGAGAATTCCTTAAGCAGGCTAATTTGCCTAAGGAAAATATACTCGTATGTTTTCCATCTTATCCCATTGTTCTGGATTGGGTTTTTAATTTTTAATTTAAAAACCCAACAAAACAACCACAAACATGACACAGTATTGCTCCTTGCATCCTTCACACCTCCTATACTACAGCTATTTCCAAAAACCAGAGTGGTAGGAACCATTGCCCCATGACAAGTTCTGTACACCACAAGTAACCAACAAAACAGATTGCACTATATTAAAATGTGAACAGAAATGCATAATACAACTCCAGTGATGAACAGGCCATTTTGTCTAGATATGGTCTAGGCATTGTGTTCTGAGGCATGAAAATGAGCATTATCAACTCACTCTGTTCCTGCTTGGAAACATTCTGCTCAAAATCAGAGTACTCTGACTTAAAAAACACAATAATGCATCTTTTTTTCCACATATCTAATCTGAAACTATCTCACAAAAAATATAAAATAAAATAAAATAAATAAAAAATTTTAAAAATCAATCCATAGTCTTCAGTTTTACTATGGCATAAACAAGATGAAATCAGACCCACACAGTAGTTGGATCTGATCTAGTTTCTTCCATGGTAGGACTAAACAGCCCTATTTTCATTATCTTCTTATCCCAGGGAAAATAACATTTTCATCCAGATGTTTAACATGGGCTCTTACCAGTGAAGGCAAGGCTCACTTTAGGCTAGCTGAACACATCTACCTTACTCACACTCTACAGAACCCACCAAGGAGAGAATGTGCTATTAAACATATGACTATTTAGTCAAGCATGGAAGTAAAAAGCTGGAGTTTTGCATTAGTTTTCCCAGGTAGAATTGTTTATTTAGGCTACAACACACTTGTACCCATCTGCCCCACTCCCTGGAATACATGCAGTCCATTTTTGCAAACAATCCTACTATACCTGAGATGCTTCTTTGGTGTTTGATGTCCTCAGGGAAAATGAGTAGTTACTATTTTTATATGTAAACAAATATGGATTTTCCTGCAGAGTGAAGAGAGTATGTTTACCAATGCTAGTGGAAATACAGTCACAGCTGATGTTAAAAGTCTTCTGGCTACATTTTCCGAGCAAAGATCTTTACAGTATTAATTCTTGAATGAACATTGTATTAGTGAAGTAAACAGGTTAGACTTTAAAGTTAAACCCTGGTCTGAAGTCCTGTCCTAGGTATGCTCTAGGCACAGCACCACTTCCTGCCTTAAACCTAACATCAAACAAAACATAAAATTCTATTTCTTTGATATTTTCATTGCTGTTCAGAAGCTTTTGGATGCCAGTAATATTTTGCCACTATCAAATTACTGAAGTCATAGCTTAATTGCAAAAGCATACAAGAACCAGTTCTTTGAACATGAGATGCTCCAAGCCTGACTACTTACAGCTCCAGGGACTAAATTATGCATGGCAGCAGAGGCAAATCACAGAAAATCTAGATTATATAAAATACATGGATTCAATTTTATTGGTGACACAAATTTTAATATTGATAATGCACCTCATGCCTGCAACTAATAAATGCAGATTAACTTGATATTTTTTTTTTGACCAAAAAACATCTGACAGAGATGATTTAACTAAATTTTGTCCAAAGTTCTTTTTTTCAGAGCTTCATCTGTAGAAAATAAAGACCCCATGTCAATGAACTTTAGGAACACTCAGTTTTTAACAGTGCAGTAACTCATGCAAGCGCATATTTCCAAGAACTTCAGAAAACAATAGTATTTGAAAATTTGGAAATTCTGCAAAGAGTAAATAAAAATCACAGAATAACAAGGAAGCCCTTTTACCTGAGATGGACACTGGACAATTTTTAATGCACCATAAGGCTGCTTCTGCCCAACTGGCTGCATCTGGAAAGGGAGAGAGCAGAGGATCTGGACACTTGCTGTGTGTGGGAAGGAAGGGAGAGCAGCAGCAATGCAATGGCTCTAGTACCTGAAGTTTTCCATCAGGCTCATATACATATATCTAAAAATATATACTTAAAATTTTCTTTTGCTTATGATAAATATTTATCTCTGCATAATATACCACATCTATACCGACAAAAGCAAGGAACTGAAAACAAGTCCTCTCACGTGAGCAGACTGTCTTCCCATCATGACTAAAATTTCCATCCAAACATTAATTTGGCTTTTGGGAATGCTGACTCTCTAAGTGTTGATTGTTTATCCTACCTTTCAGAACTGTTTCATTATCTACACTCTCACACATGTTAGGCAACACCAAAAGGTGCTTTCCTACTCCATACAGAGGCTTAATAACTTTTATGTTTGTTGGCCTTCTTGAAAAAAGATGGAGAGGGGATTATTGTAATGAAAAATTATGGAATTATACAGAAAATAGAGACAGCACAAAGGGGCAAATACCAAAAATAATCACTTCACCTGTTCAGGCAGGTTGCTGAGTGCTAATTAAATTGCAATCACACACCGAGGAATTGGCTGAGGGTTTAGATCCCTCAGTGCATGTCTGCTCAGCTTGGCACCGGCAGCTGCCAGGACCAGCAGCCTATACAAGAAACAATGCAAGGGACTAGAAAATATGACAGTAGCACACTTGGCATCACCAATACACTCCAGGCAGGAATGCTATATTCTATTTCAATTGTTCCATCAATTAAATTAATTGAAAAATGCAGAGAAATAGAGAAGAGTCTTAGAGAGTTTATATTATTTGAAAGAAACAATTGAAGAATTTGAATATTTAATTTTGAAAAATTTGAAGAAACTATCTCCTTTTTTGAGTGAGGCAGGGGGGAATAAAATTAATTTCCCCAAAATGGGCAAAATAATGAAGCTTCAAGAAAAGATACATTGGAATAATTTCACATCCTCCTAGGATGAAACAAAGTAGCTATTTCATTCCATTCTTAAAAGAAAATGCACTTCCAGTGCGGAATCACCCCACAAAACATGAGATATATACAATATGGTATTTCTTGACTAGAAATTAAATACGAACAAGTATAAGACACTTGCATGTGTTGGGAGATGGGTGACAAGAACAAATTTCTCCACAAGGCACTAAGTTCCAGTTGGCTCAGACACACTGTTCTCCCAGCAAAGACTGACAACTCCCATGAAGCTCAGTCCTGGTCAGAGAATGGGGCACAAGGGCTGTATTATGGCCACCAACCCTCCCCCAAATTCTAGCAGATCTGTCGTGCAGGCCACTTAGTGTGTGGGTCTGCCCTAGTACTCAACAGGTTATAAAAGCAGCACAAACCCCTGAACACAGAAGAGAGGCACAGGCAGGCTCCTGCCATGCTGTTCACTTTTGGGTTCTTGCCTGGTTTTAGTTTCTCTTTTGGTTGCAGGATAGGGTTGGGTTTTGTTTCTGTAACACCAAAGTGCCAAAATACAAGAAGCTCTTACTCTTACGAAGTTCTTTACATACACGCATGGAGCTTTGCCGTCAGATGTATGTCCAAAGGTGAAATTGATTAATTTTGGCAAATGCCTACAATCAGGCTCTCTGTGGTAAACATCAAAGCTGTCCAACTACACAGCCAACCTCTCAGCTTTTCCAATGTCATTTATGAGACTGTTCTCTGATGTGTCCTTGAGAGTTAGAAATATTTTGCTCAAATATCCAGCCCTGCCTACGACAAGCCCTTAGGACATGATGGCTCAGCTCCTTCTCAGTCAGGCTGAAGTGCAGCCCTAAGGCCAACTGCCATTAGATTTTGAAGGTTCTGCCCTTTGGCCAATAAGCAGGTAATTATTCCAGGAAAGAGGCTGGTACCAAATCTCAGTACAAGGTCAGGACAGCCTGGTAGAGAGAAGGAGCTCTCTCAGCTACCAAGAATGCATTATGGGTTCTTTTTTAAATTTTAAAGAAGTCAGCATCAACTGGGTTTCCCAGTAGAACTGGAGAAACCTTTACCAGGTGAGGACACCTGCTAGTGTTTTTTATGCTGAATGCATCTTTCGTATCTTCTTTTACATCCTGTCAGAATAAGTCAGACAAGCCAATCACAGGAAGACAAAGAAGCAACCCTGAAAGGCCCCTTTCTGATGATTGCTAGCTGTTCTCTGAAAAGTCCACTTAATCAAAGAGAACTCTAGAAAAAAGATGGCAAAATGAGTTGAGGCAATTGTTACCATTTCCACAGTCTTCCTTCAAACCTGTGGCAAGATGTGGGTTTGCCACATTTTGCTCCTCCTCCAGCTCACTTAGGCAGTCCCCCACTAAGGGAATCACCTCACACTGAGAAAAAAAACAAACATTGAAATAAAGCAAAGTAGGTATTTGTCTCCTTTATGACAATGTTTTGGTTCTGATGGCTCCACAGCATGCTCGTTGCCCAGGTCTGGGTAACTGGCCCTGATGGAGCCAGCCTTGAAAGCACAGCTTTGTTTTGCTTATGGTTTTTCACCTCTGCTATTTCCACCAAACGCTCCTGGGCAATCAGAGTGCTGTAGTTGCTCAAGGACAGAGCACAGGAGGACAAATAAAGTCTGTGCAGGAAAGGTTTAGAGATAGAAAAATGAAACACAGGACATCTATTTTATGATGGAAGAACTAAGCTAGGAACTGTGATGTTATCACAAAGAATATCACAGATAACAGCAAAGGGGATAAATGGACCCAGCATGGTTGTTCCAAGGTTACCACTGCAACAGCTCATCAATTTTTAACTTCTTGCCTCCTACTAACTAACTAAAGTCCTACTAACTTTAACTAAAAGATAACATATTTTATTAAAGTGACTGTATTAGTCTTCTAGATATATCATCTGATGGAATAGAAGCCTCTTCCTGCAAATTCTGCTTCTTTAAATGATCAGGGCTACAAGAGCATTATTAATGCTTGGATTAGCATAAAAGAAAACAAGAACAAGGCAATGTGTATGAATTTATTTTCAAATGTGGTTTATGAAAAGATTGTTGCAGTATAGACTTTTTTTTTCCTTCATGCTTAGGATAATTTGGACAGACACAGGAATAGCTGGTACTCTCCAAAGAAAATCTTACTAACACATGGACTGCAAAACAAGAAAAAAGTGTTTTATATATCATCTAACTTAATTTGCCATTGAAGATTCTTTTTAATTTAAAAAGAGATTGTATGTGTTATAAGATTACTAGGAAAAGAAACAGAAAATGTTGAAAGCTTCCAAAAGAAAACAGTAAAATCAACATTTTACCTAAAACAATGCATGTAAGGTCACATCCAAACAGTAGCATCATGCTTATCTCTGTTGAGTCCAAACCCATGTACCTGCTTTTTTTGTCTCAATCATATTGAAAAGCACCTCACATTTCTTCAGTTGCCCCTATAACAAATTTTAAAGTGCAAACTCTTCCAGTTGTACATGCATCCACTCAGTCTCACACACTCAAATGCTGTGTGTCAGCAGCTAAAGCCTGCAGTGGGAAACAGCCCCCTACAGAATTGGTCATTGTGTTCAAGGTCAAGTGGGTCAGAAAGTCCACATTTCTTTCAGACAACCCCTCCCACTAACAGAAACACCATTTTATGGCTTTCCTCAGCTGGATAGGACATCCAGTTCGAGAGGACATAACAAAAGCTCCTGAAGGCTGTCTATCATCTTTTCACTATGAGCAACAGCAGCATAAAGATGATGGTTAAGGAGGAGACAGTGGTTTAAGACTCATTAGTAAAGAATGGTGGGGGATGCAGGACAGAGGACAGAGTAGACAGGAGTATAATTGCTGTAATCTCAGGTTAGGACAAGCCTCACTCATCCTGTGCTGTGCTGTCAAAGAGGTAAGATTAGCAAAAGCAGGATATGTTACAGCTCATTTATTCCATCTGGCTTCCCAAAGGGCTACTCTGAAAACCTTTCTAAAAAGCTCTTAGTAGAAAGTAGCAACAGAGTAAGATTTGTCTTGGAAGTGCAGGGCATTTATAGCATTATTCAAGACCAGCTTCCTTGCACAGCTGAGGATAGCAGTCATTGTAAAATTCTTCTATTCTTCCTTCCCCTGCCTCTTTACTACTCAAAGCCTGGCTCATGCAGGGTTGTTACCAGGCTTCTGGACCAAGTTCAGCAAGAAACAATCTCTGTGATACTGCTTACCATGCTGTTCCAGAGGCCCACAGACATGAAAATATAATCTTCCAGAATTTTCACTTGTGTCTCTGATGTGGTAAACAAATCATCCTTGACCTGAAAGAGAAAGTACTTTGACCATCATAAAATAATTAAGAGTATGGAAAGATGAGATATTCAGTCACAAAAGTTCTCAATCTATAATATAATATTCATATCCACAAGAAAATCAGTATTTGGTATTCTCATTAAGCCATTTGTCACTGATCCCAGTTATTACCGGTGTGTCAAGATAGACAGATGCTGTTTTTGTAAATGATTGTTGCACATGAACAGGACAAGAAGAGCAGAGCAACAACACAGCATGATCACAATAGTACCACAGAGTAGAGCAGGAAGACACAGATGTGAACATATGAATAATTTGGAATAAACAACATCACTTCTAGTTTACCCATGCATTTAGAGATTAGAAACATGCAGAATTTGTCTTAAGAGGACATGCTGAATTTTAAATAAAATGTAACTGTTGGAAGAGTTTAGAAGGTTACATATGGTGGCCTGCAGGCATACCACAAATCAGAAGAAATAAAGAATCCACCTATGACATATGATGGTATTTAAAAAAATAATAGCACAAATTACTGACAGAAAAAGTAATGCCATGAAAGTTAGAAGTCTTCTATTTGCATATGGACCAGCCCTACAAAAAAGAGCCTTACAAAAGATGACCCCAGCAGCAACAAGATTTTGCAACATAGCAAATCCTTTTGTCTCCTGGAAGAAAAATTTCTTCTTCCAATTCGCTTTGATCTGATACTGAGCTGAGGGGAGCACTGGAATTACCTCAAATTCATGGAGCTATCGTGTGCTCAAAAACACAGACAATGAGTCACTACCAACCAATTTTACATAAAAAAACACATAATGTGATGGATTTTGATACCTCCCACCACGTGAGCCATTCTCCAGAAAGCATTATTCTCCCTCTTCATTGCTAGATCTTAGACAATCTTGACCTTTCAACTTCCCTTTAAAGATCACTTTATGAGAAACCCATGTCTGACATCCTAGGCAATCCGATCTTCATTCCCTACTGCCTACACCAGAAAAAAAGTCTGAGTTCCCAGACTCATTGCAGAGAAATAACTGTACTTTCCAACATAGTTTACAAACACCTTTATCTTTTGTCCCTCTAATCCTTTTAAATACTTCACATTACCCACTTTTTGCCTTTATTGTCAAACACATGTGCATAATCAGGGATGAATATGGTGATGACTACAAAGATATGGAAAAATCAGCAGCACTGACAGCTTCCAGACACTTGGGACTTTAGATGCAGAGGTTCCATAGCTTGATTTATCCTGGAGCATAGCATTCAAAAAACACAGGATCTCTGATTCGTGCTGTTTAAATCAAGTTCCACTGGCAGGACTTCTGTGTCTGATCCTGAGGTGTGTTCTTCCTGTGCCTGCCTACCCTTGTCTTCCAGAATTACACTAGGAATTCTAGTGTAAGAATTCACTAGGACTAGGACAGGAAAACCTGCTGAATATTGCACTCAGTCTCAGCAGACACAAACCAGAAAGAATGGAGCAGATTGAGTTTACTCACCAAACTGAGCAGCCGATTTCTTCCTTGGAGAGAAGGCTGAAGAACAACAGTGAAGTCATCCTTTTGATCAAACCTCTCAGACTCCAGTAGTTTTTCCAAAGCATCCTAAATAGACAACCATTTAATGAGATAAGCATTATAGGGTAGAGAGTGTAATGTATGTGTGATTCATCAGAGCTTAAAGTAAATTTAAATTACCCCCATCCCTAATAAACCACAGAAATAAAATTGTGTAATCCAGAACAAAGACAGTAATTTAATGAAAACTTCTTACACAACAAATGAAAAATCCTTGTAGCTATGAGATAGACGGTTTACCATCATTTTCTTTGACAGGGTAGCAGGCTTAGCAAAGCAATGCAATTTCATGTTTATTGCCACCCTGACATGCTTAAAAGAAACTCTAGCACAACTGTTTTTGTTTTAACAGAATATTTCCCTCTTCTAAACCGTGTGGCATTTTACTGGACAAGACTAATCTTTTCTCTGATGGGATAAGAAAAATCCTAGGTTACCAAAAGTTATATAGACATTCAAAACTTCAGGAGATACTAAGATCACTCAGGTACAGAGAGAACTTATTATCAATATTCCTGAGGTAAGAAATTAGATCAGGATTGCTATGGATATGTGACAGAAAGGCTGTCACTCAACTTCCTCACTGCTATTCCTTGCTTCAGGGCAATCAGGAAAATGAAGAGACACGTCTAGAAATAGGAGAGCCAAACAACACAGAAGATGCCATACCTGATAGGACCACCTCAGTATGTTATCATGTAATGTGGACTGTTCAACATAATTGCACTGATTCCTGCCTGGATTGCTGCAGAAAAGAATTAAAAACATGAAGGACATTATGAACTTTTGATAAACAAGGTGGATAGCATGAATTTTTAAGCATATTTTAAGCCACTGACAAGCACATACTAAAGACTAAATTGTTGTATGTGTAGAAAAGGCTACATGGAACACACTAAGTTTTGTTATAAACGTAGAATGATATATGTTCCCATATCCAGAGCATTGTATCTCTTTTTTATTTGAAAGCCTAGTAAGTTGAGAAGTATGCCAGACTTAGATTAGCACAGTATCTCTCAAGCTAGCAACATGCTCAAGATTAAAATAGCAGCTGCACTGGTTTTCAAATATTCCCCTCTTTGTAGTCACACAGGAAAATTGAACAAACTCAAAATACTTCCACAGGAACTTTTTCTAAAGTATTTGGCATGAAGACATCTAGAAACGAGGATGGAAGCTGCAGAAGGTTATACATGCTAAAGGATGACTGCACTGTCAGATTTCTGACCTGCAACGTGAGATGGGTATACTGCATATATTTTAACCTAGCTGGAGAATTCTGAGAGTTCCCAAAGGTGTAGATGGGAACAGTATAAGATACACGTAAGATTAGTCAGGTTCCAGCAAAGATACACTCCCTTGAAATTTTCTGTGTGGGCTGGAATCTGAGAAAGTTTCTGGGGGATTTGCAAATATAAGCAGTAAGTGTGTGTCAGGATCCTTTTCATAGAGCTCTAGCTAAACCCATAAAATGAGAATTTTCTGATAAAGTGCTATTATCACTGCTGGTGAGTGAAAGAAATACAAACTCAGGACCAGAATCTTAAAATCGTAAAACACATGAAGAGCATTACATGCCTAAAAATAAGATTCATGCATTATTTTTAGTGCACACACTTCTAATTAGTAAGAAATTAGTAAAGGAGGGAACTTTAAACCCCATTCGAAGCCTAAAGTTAAGGCATGGGACTGAAAGTTTCAACCACTATGATCTTCATTGACTCTTAAAATTTCACATTTTGGTATGGATTTATATTTTTCCATCAAAGCACAGTTCCTAATGACAACTTAGTAACCAAATGCTGGAGGTCCTTATCTGGGAGAGGATCTGGGACTGAGGCCATCTAACAAATTTGTGGGAACTGTTTATCAACCAGATAAACATAGCTATGAGAGCATGCCGACAATAAGAAAGCAAATTGCCTTAAGTACAAAAGGAAATATAAAAATTCCTCAGAGGAAAACAAAACAGATCTATTTAATTTTAATTTTTAACACCTTCAGTATTTGGCAAGGCCTATATTACTAAACACATCTTTTCCACATATCTCACATTTTTCTCCTTCATGTTTGTGCAGGAGAAATAAGCCAGAGTGCCCCATGCAGTCACTTTTGACAAGGAAAGCTTCTCCTCTCCTTGTATTTGTTAAGTATGCTGTTACATAGCAGCTGGATCTCCTCCCCTGTTCCATCAGAATGTCTCCAAGGTTGTACTTGCAAAGTTAGTGAAACACTTCAGGATGACTATATTAGTACATGTGGTGTCCTGTGCCATGAGCACAGGGGGAAAATAATTACTGTGGAGTAAGACGAAGTGTAATCTCACCAGCTGTAAACTACTTCATCATAATTGCTCATGTGCACACTCCTACTCCATACTAAATCAGGACACAAACTACTTTTTTTACAAAGTACTGAGAAAGACAGATAAATAGATACAGTTACCATAAGGAACTGATTGATAACTTGGATATTCTCTACCCTAGCATACTCTAAGCCCAAGTAGAATATTTCCAATAGCCTAAAAATGTCCTTTAAAATCAGTTGCTCATTTTGTGAACACTGCTATGTGGAAATTTAAACTTTTGAAGCACCTAGAGAGCTTCTGACTTGAGAGTTGCAGAACAAAAGTATCACTGAATAAAAAACTGGGGGTTGCTAAACAGTGCAGTTTTGTGCAGTGCTGAATCTGGCTGAGATGGAGTTCACTTTCCCCACAGCAGCCCATATTGTGCTGTGTTTTGGATTTGTGGCTAAAACATTTGATAACAAACCAGTGCTTTGGCTCTTGGTGAACAGTGTTTGTACAAGTGTTGAGGCTTTCTCTTTTTCGTTTATTCTGACCCAATTCTTAAATGTGCTGTCCAATTTTACAGGATTTAAAGCACTAGCTTCCTAGTAAAAAATATATCTTTCAGAGAGAGTATATCAGAAACAAAGTGAAGACTTAAAATCTTCTACATAATTTTGTATTAAGGGCAGAAAAACAGTTCAGCAGATTGTATCAGTCAAAGTTGGTGCATATAAATAGCTATTTGTTGAACACCAGCAGGAGACAGTAACAAGAAGTTAAAGAAACCTGTTACCTGGCATTACTGTAATCTTGGCATGCAAGAGAGGCAGTTGTGAGCTCAGTGGAATCCACTAGGTTTATGAAGGCCTTGGGAACCTGCAGTAATAAAGTAAAAAATTATTCATGCTAGATTTGCAATTAAAGATCAGCAAGCAGCAATTACATCTACAACTTCACATGTATTACCTCTGGCCTGGGATTCTACCCACATAAAATCAATGATATAAGTCTTTGCCAATTATGTCCTGAACCCTGCTCCTATGCCTGCTACCTAGGGTCATCATTTGTGAAGTACTTGTGACCATGCTTTCTTCACTGATACACAATCATTCATTTTACATAACCAAAATGGCCACCAGCCAACTAAACTGAACTCAAATGAATTTGGGACTACCATTCTTGTGGCAACATAGGAATGCAAAGCTGGGGACAAAACATCCTGTATAACAGCACAAGCACTCATGCAACCCACTACACCTCTCCCTCATGCAGAAAGCAGCTTTTCATTTACATAATGATATTTCACTTTTACAAGTGCACATAAACAGATTCTGGAAATAACAGCAGAGAGAATCTGAAGAGAATGTGTGGGTGGAATTTCCCCCATACACAACATTTGTTGAAATCAGTTGGAGAAAAACGAGTGGTTGTGGTCTGGTGCAACCAAACTAGCAGGTTTAGAACAGGCTGTAGGCCTTCAATGCAGCAAAACAAAATTATTGGAAAATGAGATGCTATTGAAATAATTCAGTTAAACAGTTTACAGTCTGCTTTAGTAGTGATCTATCCTCATCTAGTCTACTATCATTAGTAGACCAAGATACAGTGCAGAAGCAGATGGCTTCCCAGAAACCATCCTAGATAGGCAGATAATTCTTAGCTCAGCCAGCTAGAAAACCTTTAGAAAGGCTGAGATTTTTTAATGAACACAAAATAGGAAAAAAGGTCTACTGTATGTATTTTAATGGACCTTTTCCCTGGTCTGTAAAAGTCATCACCAGGTAGTTAGCAGCCTGTACACTGCCCAGGTGTTCACACCAGATAGCAGTTACTTTCACCAACAGCCCTGTTAAACAGAACTTTCACACCTAGACAGATGTACTCCAATTTTCACATAAATAATTTTAAAAATACCCTAAGATTGAGTGGTACATTAGCTTGTGTTGCAAAACAGAGCAGTTACCCATCCATCCTTTCTGTTTGCATGCATCAGCTTTATGAAAACCTGAGTAAAACACTTGGTGAAAATAAACAGAGCCAGTAGGTTGAAGCCAACGATACTGGTGCTCTAAGTCATGTGAAGAGTGGCACAAGCCCAAGTCTAGTAGGAGAGACTGGAAAAATACACAAAGGATTCAGCTATCCAGGGTTGATGAATACATCTTACCTTCTTATATAAAAAATCCAAGACAGCTGTAAGTTTTTCCAAGTTTTCCAAGATGCAGTCCTTCTGTAAATGAGATGGGAAAGGCCATAAAAACTAGTAGAAAAAACAGTTATCCATTTCCTAAAAGTCAAAGACTCTGCGTATTAAGCTGTACTGTGTACTGAAGGGCTATTAAGAACCATTCTGTTCTAAATTCAGCCTTAGCAAGCAACAAGTAAATAACATGGGAACTAGTCTTGTAATTTAACTGCCTATAAATAGACACCTTGACATATAGTAAAAAAAAACCAACAGGGATAGGAAAGAAAAATAGCTTTATACTTGAAGGTTGAAAACAGTTGTTCTACTAAGACATCTCAGACTGGGGATGGCAAATTAAGTACAGATGCTTATAGATACAAAACACACAGTGTGCCAGGAGTTTACATTATTAGAGGCATCCCAACATCCCAGACCTAACCACTCTGGTTCCCTATGGCAGAGAGCAGAGCATGGGAAAGTGTTCTAACTATCTGCCTTGACTGCTAAATCACCCCACAAAGCTCTTACCAGTTGTGTGGAAGCATCGGAGGAGCATGGGGTTTCAGCACTAAAAAATACCGTGATCAGTTTCCAGTCATTTTGGAAGTCCATCATCTGGGAGAAAAAATATAAAAGAATAGTGAGGTGAGGGAAAGGAAAGGTGATCTATTTGCTATTTTCCTTTCTCACACAATTTGCTGTGGGTGTAAAACCAGCAAGACCAAACAATAGTCCAGGGCCCACCCCTGGCCATCTTGGTCCCTTCCATTTAATGAGCCATCCAGCATTTCCTTAGAGGACAGAAAAACAGATGGTTAGGCATCAAGTGCTGCAATTAAAGCTGAACACACACCTACAAAAACCTCAGGATAGGGCCTGAAATTGCTGTTTCTGTAGAAGATACTATTGGGAAAGATGAGTATGGACAGTTTAGCACAGAACTTGATGTTGTCTCTTTCCATCACTGTTGCAGTTTACCAACTGGATGACTGTACATGAACTGCTGAGAAGGGGTCACACTAGTCAAAGACTGGAATAAAAAATCTGCTCAGCTGTGCTGTGTTTATTAGACAATGCTGTAGAATCCTGAAGGGCCTTGGTTAGAACCACACAGTTCCACAAACATGCATGCTAAATCCCTGTAGAACAAAGAAGGCATAGCAGAATTGCCTTGGCAATTATGTTTTCCCATTATTTCAAGATGATTTTACAAAATAGCATCATGGTTAAGAATAAAGGAAAAATGAATGCTTAAAGCTTCAGGATGGGACTTAAAAAGCACTCAGCCAGGAGCAATAATTTGAGCTCTCACCAGCATCAGCCAAAGCATATCTAAGTCTTTATTTTCCTTTTATAAAATATATTCCTAAAAGACCAAAAATGAACTGAAGAGACAAATACTGAGAATTATTATTTTGGGTTGGTTTCTCAGAAACACTGGCACAGTTGCAGAGTGTAGCTAGCAGAAGTCTCACAACTTCAGCCAACAGGAAGCAAACATATTGGCTTCCCTAACAAGCTTTTCAGCTGTTTTGACAGAAATAAAAACGGTGGGATACTTTCAGAAGAAAACTCTGCACTTGAAAGGCACAGAACTGATTCTTATTTACAGCAGAAAGACTCAAATCTATTAACCTCAAGAAATAGCATTCTCTGTTTTGAAAAAAATTTTGAGTGTTGTTTAAGTATTAAACCAATTTTCTGCCTTTCTGCCTCAACACCATGCTTTCTGAATTGTCCTGTGCTTTGAACAAACCTGATCCACTTTCATGAGCTCCACTGTTTCTTCAGCTTGATGCAGGAGGTCTCTGAAAAGCAAAAAGGAAGTGAGAAAGTATTAAGGCATCAGTAAGGCTAAATCTCTGGTTGATTCTTACCATTGAATCAAACAACATTTAAGGATTCAGGTTGGATTCATCTTTTCTCTCCTAAATGTGTTAAGATTAGACAATTTACTGTGCTACCCAGAGAGCTTTGGGTGATTAGTTCATATTCAGCTGACTTTCAGACGTGCACTTAGATGAAAACAGCAGCTTAGTAGGCACACGTCAACTTGTATTTGAACCAAAAATTTGTTTTGCAGCTATAAAGAGATGTGATGTTAACTGAGGTGATACTGATGCCCAAGTGGGGCTCTGTTCCTCCTGATTCTGACAGACGCTGATTGAGCCACAATGACAGCCTCTGCCAATACTGAGCATATTCGGAGTCCAGTGAAGGGTTCCAGCATCAAATAATTTCCATCAAAGCATTTCCATCCTTCCCCTTGCCAGCTGTACATCAACTGCCCAGCCAAAAGCCCCTCAGACTCACCTGGCTTGACGGTCCGGCACCTCTCCCGCTGTGCCAGGAAGAGGGGACAGATGTAGGACCGAGGGGTTGAAGGTGCTAATGAAAGCTGAATGACACACTCAAGTTAGGCTATTTCTGCCCCCAACAGACTGCAATCTGCTGATTCATTAAACACAAGAGAACTAAAACAGCACCAGAACATATAAAGACTGAGGATCTCTTGGCAAGCATGAGAGGTGTGCCCAAGCCCATCTGCAGCTGTTTTTCTTGGTTTTGGTCCTCACCTTCTGAAGTGAAGGCTTGATGACTGAGTTTGCCTCCAGACTCAGGTCAAAAACCGCCATCCTGATTTCATATCAGCCACAAATATTGTAGGTGGGCTTAAATACATTTCCCTGTAGAAATGAAGCTACTGGGAAAGGCTGCTCAGGGAGACTCATGAAACACCAATGAGTTGCCACATTTTAAACCCTTTTACAGGGATATGGATGTTACACCAAGGAGTTAAGATACTAGGAAGATGACTTGGAGGGCGGGACCCCAGAGCTATACATTACTCAGCATTTCAGTGGGCATGAAAGTTTTACTTGCAATGCCCTTTAAGTAAGTAAAGGCTGCCTTCAGACACGGACAATAGATGATGAATTCACAGATGTGGCACATCTATGGCAGCTCCAGTGTAAATCCTAAGCACATGGAAGTTCTGGGCAGGCAAACCCACACAAGATTTCACCAGGCCAGCATGGGCCACAAGCACATACCAGCAGAGACTGTGTAGTGGGTAGAAATAGCAGGCCAAAAAACCTTGTTGGGCATTTAAGAATCTTGCAGCAGTCTGTCATACCCCTTCTTCGCTGCTGTATGTCTACCCAGACAGTCTCTTTAAAGCCATCACAGACAACCAGGCTCTACTCATGTCCCCAGGTACACCATCCCTCAGGCTTCCCTTATGCCCCTGCAGTGTGCCTCTGCTGCACCTGCTCTGCAGCCCAGCAGAGGCCTGGAGCTCCTGCCAGCGAGTTGTTAAATCAGTTTGCTGAAGTTTTAGTTTGACAGAAAGACGCACCTGCTAAAGTTGCCACATTTAGTTCAAGGAAGTTGTTTCCTGTGCTACAGAAAGAGAAGAGAAAACAGGAAGTTCCTGTTATTCCATTTCTCAAAGAAAAATTATATTACAGCACAGCTTCAATTTCTTATTAGTTATGCTGCATCTCAGAGTGAAATTCATGGCAGCTGCTGCAAGAATGGGGCCTTTCTTTCCCCAAAACTGTCATGTCATCAGCTACTGCTGTGTAAGAACATAGTCTCAGATCTCAATTTTTTGTGTCTCTGTACCCTCTGCATGTTGCAGTACTTGTGCTTGCTTATAGGTATAGGTATAAGTGATGCAGGGGCCTCTCTGTGTATGCCCACACACAAGAGGACACAGATGTTTATGCAACCATTAAAAAAACTTAGTATTTTAAAGTTTATCTGTGCAGTGCTAAATCCTCATCTGGATTGCTGAGACTCAAAAGATCTGCACAGATCTGCAACTACAAGGTTTAGCCATGTGTTCACTCGCAGATTTATATCTGCTAAAGGGGCATGGAAGAAGACAATGGGGTAAAGCTTCTCCATGAAGCACTGGGAATCAGCCAAGCAGAGGACAGGGTACTGGGTTCTTTCTTAGATCTGATAAATCCCTGCTTTCTAATCTAACTAGTGAATTACGATATTTACTGCCTAGGATTTATCACACAGCAACGGTCCTTAATCAAGGGTATCGAAACCCTAAGGTAATTCTATATCCTGCATAAGTACAAAAAATTTGTTACCAAAGGACAGGGAAAGTTTCAGTGTCTCAAAATCCTTTCTATTTTACATAGACTTTCTTGTCCTCTATATAAAACAATAAAAAAATTGCTTGGCCCTAACTCCTGCACCGTGATAATATAGAGATTAGGATAACGAAACTTACAAAAGCTAACTATTAATTGTTACCTTTGGAGCAAATCCTCACCAGATCCTGGTGTCTGTTAACAAAGAAGTAAGAATAATATTAAGCAAAGTGTAAACTAGACCTCCATATGCTGTTCCCCTACTGTATTTCAGTCGTGTTAGAGACAGTATTGTTTTCTACTTACTCTTCTCCACTGTGTTGTAATCACTCACAAATTTAAATTATTTTCCAGAACTTCCCTATTACAGTGCATTTTCATAATCTGGTAATCCTTTCTCAGTTACTGCTTTCATTAATGATTTTTTTACACATGACTTAAAATAAAATTTGTTAAGTTGAAATCAAATTCCATAAAACAAAATGCTGTCCTAGACCAAATTTCTCTGGATCTAGTCCTACTCCTTTTCAACACAGGACATAACCTATCATTTAGATAATTTAATAGATGGCACTCTGACAGAAGGGTGTCTGTTAAAAAGAAACAACATCAATAGAAGAACTTCACTGATTTCAGAGAGCTTGACAAGGAGACAGTGATAGGGATGTTTGCTCTAGGACAGCAAATATTGCTTAAAAGAAGATAATTTACATGTTTTTCTATGACACCCCCACAAGCAACAAAGACACCGGTCCAAAGAACACTTGGCTCCAAAGGGCCTTGCACTTGATATGGGTGAAGAACCTTTGCATTCAGGACAATAATTTTTTTCAAAAGAGAGAGGTACTTACAAGGAGTCCAGAAATGCAGATTTTCTGAAGTATGATATATTGATGGATCCCATCTCAAATTTGAAAGTTATTTTGTAATAAGGGAGACTCTTCCCCATTTTTCACAGTTTTTTTTTCACATTTTTTTTGCAGCCTCTCCAATGGCCATCAATTTTTGCTCTACAGGCATTTCTACACTTACTCAAAGCCTGAGAATTGTAGTTAAATGCTTCTAATTGGGCCTCAAATCTGTTTCAGATATCCACTTCCACCTATTAAGGACAAATAAAGATCATCCCAATCTGACTATATTATTACAGGCAGGAGAACTTTACCCACTGATCTATAAAACAGAAATAAATTTTTGTGATTCATATAGACCTTCTGCCTTCTAGGTAGGAAATTTGAGGTGGAAAATCTACAGCATTTCTCAACAATTTGTATTTGTTCCAGTTTGCAATTTCCCAGTATCTTCTTCCAGTTATTCAATCTATTATGCTCATTTTTAGGAAAATCCATGTACTCTAATCAAATATCCTGGTTCTCTGCAAGAGCACTGTGATCACATTTCCTCCTGTGCAAAATCAGCTGGCTATTTTTAGATTCAGGGTATATTGGAACACTGAACAGCAGGTATTTCCAGTTGTTTTTTCACCAGAAGTCTTTGATGCTTATGGAAAGACTGAAGTCCTGAACACTCTGAGACCCCAAACTACATCATCAGCTGACTTCATCATCACAATGGAGGAAATAGGTCACGTTCAGCACATTTCCGGCTTGTACTTACTCTTTGCAAACTTCCTATTGCAGTGACAGCTTTAATGTCAGTTGGCCTTAGAGTATGAACTGCAGAAAAGCAAAAGACTTCAGGTTACAAAAAACCCCAAAACAGCCCTAAAAAGAAAGTTACATTCACCAGTATATTAGAACATAAAATTGGCTAAAATGGTAAAAAAATTATACTGATGACTTTGATTGGAGGCTTTAAACTACTCAGAAAGCATGAGAAACTTTTTTCAGGTGTTCAGTAAATACTTTGGGTGTTTAGAGGCACTGAAATGCTCAGTCATCAAGCAAGAAAAGATCAAAAAACACTGCTGGGAATGATTGAAGTAATCATTCAATGACTGAGTAATGATGAGTAATGATTGAAGTGGCCTCCTCAATCACCAGCTGAAGAAACAAAGGTAGAAAAGTAATCAGAAGTAGAACAAAAAACTAAGGAGTTTATAGAGCCTAGCTGCACTTCAGTCAATCCCATACACAGGCATCCCTGCAAACAGCTGATTTCTGCCCCAGCCCATTCTCAAATAATATTGTGAGGGAAAGCCTCTGCAGAGACAATATCAAACACAAACCTGAAGATGAAGGGGTCTCAGGGGATGTTGCCTGGTCACATGAAAACTGCAAGCTTCTTAGAGCCTTAGACATAAACAAATAAATATGGTTGATTGCTTAGATCTAACAAGGAAATCTGTGGAATGAGGGGTCCTACAGGCTCCATTCCCACACAGAATCAAGATTTTACTCATGTAAACAATTTCAAAGAACCATTACACCTGTGTTAGAAGTACCTGGGAACACAGATCTGCATTTTCAGCTAACTCCTCTAGAACTTTACACTTTCTCCTCAGTTTTCTTCTGATTGCCACAGCACTGGGCCTGAGCAAATCATGAAATATGCTGACTACGTCCTGTCACGTCCATTGCTGCAGTGATTGCTTAATCTGGAAGAGGTCACAAGGAGAGCTATTGCAGACAACTCTGTGTGCCAAGGGGTACCCAACCAACAAAACAAAATGTTACATCTCCAATATGCAACAGAAAAAAGCAGAATTAACCAATTCTGGCTGCTTAAAAACACCTGGCCAGGTGATCAGAGAGGGTAGGTATGTGAGTGATATGATTCACTCAGCGTGAGAGACAGCTCAGTACCAGCAGGAACATTGTTTAATGCCATCCTATATCCTAATGGTAGGCACAACCCAACATCAAGTGCTTTAAAGGGACATGAAAGGCAGTCCCTTTCTCCCCAGGTGACTTGGCAAGGGGTTCCCCCATCACGATGACCATGAGTGGCTGGCTGACCATCACCAATACCTAAAGGTGAAATCTGTATAGTGACAAGGGCCACCAGGGTCCCTACACACTCCCTACTGCCCAGCTGGAGGACTTCAATGGTGCAGACACCTTGCACTGTTATAAAGCAAAGAAAAGTTTAATCCTGTGTTTCTGAAAGAGCAACAGAGCCTCTAGGAACAAGTGCTAACCACAAATGACCTACAAACAGGATATGCTAACTAATAACAAACATTGCTTGGAGAAAACCTTATCTCCTGATTACGTTCTGTAATCTTGCAGCTGCACTGTCACATTGCTGACTCATTAATTGGCTTTGCATTTTTTCTTTGCAGAAGCAGTTTAGAGCAACAAGCTCTATTCTTTCTTCTGCTGCTTGCCTAAGAGGAAGCAACAGCTTGATAGGTAATCATAAGTATTGAAAACAGAAAAAAAAAAAAAAAAAAA